AAAGAAAAAACGAAACACAGATAAATTTTTTTTTTTTTTTTTTTTATTTTAAATGTTTTTTTTTTTTTTTTTAAGAATCCAAGCTCTACATTCTACTGGAATACTCAAAACATTGATGTACTTTAATATCTAGGGATACATCATCACATTATCTAGTTACAACTTTAAAGCTCAACTAACAAGACAAAAAAAAAAAAAAAACATTTAAAATTGGCTCATCAAGCATCGGCCTGGCATGTTTTCAGTGTCTCCTTGCTTAAAAACTCCCGATTTAAATGAAAGGAGGATTATCAGGCTTCTGCAGCATTTGATGGGTGCAGAGGACGTCATGCAGTCATTTGAATCAAGTGTGATGGAACAGAGCTGCATCTGAAACGTGCCGACCGGGAGTGCTTGAGGATCTAGCGAAAAACCTAGCTAGCTGGCAGTTAGGGGGAATTGATACTTTAGAGCCACTGATCTAAAGTATAATTTTTTTTCAATCCAGCTTGCCCAGTAAAGATATTTTCAACATTTTCAGTAGACTGTATGTTAAAGAAAAAAAGTTCTGGTTGTTTACAAGTTACTCATTTTGTCAAAGCATTTTTGTTGTTGTTAGTCTTTCAAGAGCATTAGGGGCATACTAACTTGAAAATGTGTTTTTATAAGAACAGTCATATTATTACAAGGATAAAGTCAAAATAACATGAGAATAAAGTCATAATATTTCGAGTACAAGTCACAATGTTATGAGAATAAAGTCATAGTATTACGGTTTCTTTCTTGTCTCATTTTGACTTTATTCTTGTAATTTTGTATTTTTCATTTTCTTAGCCTGGCCCTAATACTCTGTCGTATATTACGCTAATCTTAATAATAATAATAATAATAATAATAATAATAATAATAATAATAATAATAATAATAATAGTAATAAAGTCATTTGAAGACAATCACCTGCACAGCAGTGTGAAGAAAGGCCACACCGTACAGCAGCGGCTTCCACATGGGCAGGTTGCTCGCTTCCAGCTGGTGCTGTGAAATTCCTGCAAATGTTCGTTTCAAGCCAGCACGTATTCCCTGTGGCGGATCGTTGGTGAACTTGATAGAAGACTGAGGGGACAAATAGGAGAAGGATATTTGTGTGCTTTAGTAGTTGTTTAAGTTACCAGTAGGTCAGAATGCAGAGCTTACTCCGCGTTACCTGCAGGAGTGTAATAGAGAACTTATTGTGTGGTTCTGTGGTGATCCACACTCTGAAAGTCTCATGCACGGTCTCAGTGACTGTGACCGTTTCAAGCAGCTCGTCCATGAACTCCAACCCCAGGTGACAATTCTGCAGAAGGACCCAGCCTCCCTGTACAACAGATCGAGTTAAATGTTCAATAAATCTGGCTTAAATAGCTTGAAAACTCTCACGACGTGTCGTAAGTTTGAAGTTGGACCCAAATGCAGAGACACGGACGTGGAAAATGAATTTGAAGGTCTTCATGAAAAGATTATGACAAGTCAAACTCACAAGGATAACCGGTTACCAGGGTCGGAATAAAAAGTCTAAAGGAAACAGCAGGGAGATACGAGGATTGCTGAAGTAGTTCTTAAATTTTCCAGTGGTATGAATCTTTTTGAGCCTGACTGTATGTATTCTTATTACGTGTCTATCTTATCTTGGTAAATATATTCCCAAAAGATCTGTAAATCTTAAGATGCATTTCCAAAATTCTCTGAGCAGTTAGCTAACCTGCAGTTGAAGGCAATATCCAACATAGAGCATACATACCTCCGTCATTGACGTCTTGATAAGCTTCCTTGCATGAACCTCTTGTCCTTGTCCCATTGATATTGCTCTGCAGTCTATAAAACACAATATGTACGTGGGCAAAACTCATCAGACTATTTGCATTGCAATTTTCTAGTTTTATCACCCACCCATCAAGCTTCAATCAATCAGTTAATCAAGTTTATTTGCATAGCACATTTAATCAGGAAGGCTGTTTGAGGTGCTTTGCATAACAAAAACAGAAAATTACAAAGTTAGTCAATGTTATTATCATAATTAAGCCGATTAATCAGTTCAGCCCTGAAAAGGAATCTACTTGAAGTGTCAATGTGGTCAAAATAATGTTATGACATGCTGTTTTAGGGATAATACAGGAAGCTACAAATATCCACACCTAGCAGGAGAGGAGGACTCACCAAGTTCGAGTCTTTTGGCAAGGGCTTCAATCTGATCAGTGGGATCGGAGCCCATAGAGAGGAAGCAAATTAGCGGTGTGCGAGCATCACTTTCCTCCCATGTGCCGTGAAGATTCAAGATCACAGGTTCGGCAAATCTGGCGCCCATTGAGTCTTCCACGTACTTCATGGCTTGAGACAAGGTTCGATCAGGGCACCAAGATCTGCAGTATGAAAAGGGATAACTGTGCTGTGTTGCATTTCATGTCTGAATGCATACAAAAGAGGCTAGCCTCAAAAAAAAAAAAAAAAAAAATCCCACCTTATTAGCAAAAGTTTGTGGAAGACGTCAACATAGTTGTATCCATCAGGTATGACGCCTTCTTCTGGAGCATCGAGATTTAGCCAATGTTTCCAGCTTTTCTCACTTTGGGACACCTGCAAAACACACCACTGTCAGCACCGATACAGTACGAGCTACAAGAGATTCAGGAGTAGGGCCTTGCCTGGTTTATGATATTAGCAAACTGTGACAGTTTGCTGAGTTCCACCAGGTTCAGCCACACCATATCCAGTATCCATTTAAATGGCTTCGGAGGGCAGGTCTTTAAGTCTAGAGCTGCACCACCTTTATGTGTTTCCAGAGATATTATTACGGTTATATAACAGCATATCATAACAGATAGACCAACTAATGACTGTTCTCATACCTTTAATCAGTATCTGAAACTTGTTGTGTTCGATTTTGTTATTCTGCAAGTCAATCTTCAGAGTCAACAAGAGCGTGAAGACAAACTTGTGGTTTTCATAAAGGCCTCTGATTGTGTATTTGAACACCTCAAAAGTCAAATATTCAATGATGTTTGCAATTCGAGTCTGGGTTTTGGAGGACTTTTCAGACCTGCAAAGGCACAGTCAATAAATACTGAAAGCATGTGCTAAATAAATAAGGTTTGCTATGCAAAGACCAGTCTTGGCGAACGCTTACCTTTCAAGGGATATGTCGAATACTTTGAGGAACTGACCCAGGGAGGTCTGGTACATGACATTGACCATGCTCATCTCTGTGATGAGGAAGTAAAGAATGCTGCCGCGGGAGGCAACGGGACGATATTCCGCCTGAGCCAAATTGATTTTTGCCTCAGCTTCTGCCGCCACACTTAGCTTTTCACTAACTTTGGCAGCAGTTTGCTTGGTTGTTCGCAGGATGCCGATCATGGACTCATCATCAACCAGCGAACCTTTAGTCACAAAAGCGCAAACAATCCATCGGGAATGAGTCAAAACTCTTCCGAGAAGCACACACCGACAGCTGTACTACCTTTAGTGGAGCTGAGTTTGTACAGCAGGTTGTCTTCCAGTTCCTGCATCCTTCTCTTATTGGCGGTTACGTCCTCCATCAGCTTCAGTCTTTCTGCTTCTAGTTCCTGTTCAACAAAATCCAACCAGAGGTCAGCGTGTGTTACAGCAATGCTCTAGTAAGAATGACACTTTTTTTTTTTTTTTTATCAGCAAGACATTTTAAAATGGAACAAAAACGCTAATAAACAAAGCATGCACTCACTTGTTTCTCCTTGAGGATGACTCGCCCTAGCAGCTGGTTCTCCAGGCCTTTCATGTTGACAGTGAAATCAATGATAGACGTCCTGGCACTGACTTCTGGGGTGTATGCCGGGTTCGGCAGTTTGGTGGTTATATACAGCCGGAAACTATCCATTATACTTATCTCTTTGTCGCCGACTTTAACCTAAACCAAGATGGATCGAAGAAGTCAAGAGTGGAAACATTTTTTAACTTTTATAAAAATGTTTTATTTTTTTTTGTAAAACTTTTACTATGTCATAACAGTGTAACAAGAGACAGAATCTGATAAATAGACCTCCTCTGCCTCCTACTGTTGTCCTACTGCCATCTACAGAAATGCACAGCTCCCATACCAACCAATCAGAGCCAGGTGGATTTTAGAACTGGTAGGTAACAACTTAACTTAGTGTTACAAGAAAACTGTCTGCTATCATCGACGGCAGCCATGCTAACGAGCGAGTGTTCAAAGAAGGCTCTGATGTGGGGAAGAGGCTGTACGGCAGCAGAGAGCAAGGGGGAGGGTTTGAGGAGCACATACACGAGAGAGATTAGCAGCGCTAACAACCTCATCTTGACCGAGCGGTGCATTTCTGCAGATAGCTGTTGGACCACAGGGAGGAGGCAGAGGAGATCCAGTTTCTATCTCATATTAGAGAAAATTTTAACAAGTGTGTGAAATACTTTTTTTTTAAATAAAAGTGACCAAATGCAGATATAATGCATATAATCATGATAACTGAATACCTTAAAACTGGTCCCAGATTTAATGAAGTTTTTCTCAAGCACATTATCCAGGGCTGGGTCAAGCTCTTCAAATATATCTGCAATGAGCAGCGGACGCCCCAGAGAAAGACAGTCTTCCAAATGTGTACGGAAGAACTTGTGGTTGAGGGATGTGACCTGGACAAAAGATCAGAGTTTCACTAATCAGGGTGACCAAAGGGGGGAGAAAAAAAATCTACACAATTTAATTTGATTTGGCTGCTTACTTGAAGCTCATTTTCCGCTTCTTTCTTTTTAATCCATGACCTTCCTTGTGTCTGGGGATCTATAAGGAGGGGATATCTCGTTGCTTTGGTGACAACGATGCCATTCTGAACGGACAAGTCGTCTCCTGGAAGTCCCTGGAGGTTCCACTCGCTTATCTTAAAAGACGAACAGGAAAGCTTACGTGGAGTTTATCTGTAACTGGTATTGACGTAAAATCAAGCCAGATGCTCGCCGTCCTTACAGTCGGAGGATCCACCAGGGCAGAGATAATGTTGAGATTTTCTGAGAAGGGGATTTTGTCATTCAGGAGCTCTGCCTGCCAGTCCTTCAGCAACTTGTCGCGGTAACTTTGATTGAACGGCCCGCAGTATGAAAGGAAGCCAGTAAGCTGGAGCACATCCCCAATAAGTCTAAGAGGAAAAAAAAAAGTTCATTTATTTCCTATTTAATGCAATCAGTATTTTTAAGTAAGCCCCTGCCCTTGCAATAATACACTTTACATTGGGAAGACCCATTTTTTCTTTGTGACCTGCCTGTTGATTTGAGCTTTAAACTCTTTGCTCTGCTCTGTCCAGCGAACTTTCTCTCCACTAAGTCCATCGATCAAGGCAGACGCAGCCTGCATTTTATTCCTACACATCTCTGCGTCATCCAACAGGTCCTGAGCACAAAACAATAATTGTCTAAGGGGGAATTTTTCGGCCATAATTCGAGAGCACACGTCTTCAGTCTGAAAGCAGGATTTCATGTCCTTTGTTCTCAAAAAGACAAGTTTTGAGGTTTGAG